CCTCCTAGGGCAGGGCTAATGGGAAGCCAAGGCTGTCTGCTCTACCTTGAGACTTACCCATCCAAGCTGAGCACAGAGGCTTTTGCAATTTTGCAAGTCTTTTCTCATAAGGATGTCTCCAGAAAAGAAGTTCTCCCAGCATAGACACAGCTGATCCTCACAGCCAGTTGGCCTGGAGGTCAATTCCTCCCAGTGATACCAACAACAATCAAGACTCACTACAACAAGGCAATGCACACAGCCCACAAAGGGGTGCACCAAAAGTGTCCACCTCAGGTAACTGAGGAGGCTGAGTCACTAGGCCCTATAGGACACCTAACACACAAAGCCACTCTGTCAACTCAGGGAAGCAACCAAAATGTGGAAACAAAGAAACAGGTCACAAATGAAAAAAATGGAGGAAAGTAAATGACTGGATATAGAGTTCAAAACCAAGGTTATAAGGTTTTTCAAGAATTTCCTAGAAAAGGCCAATAAATTTATTGAGACCCTCAAGGAAATGAAAAAGGACCATCTAGAAATTAAATATACACTGACTGAAAAAAAAAATATTATAAAAATACTAACGACAGACTAGAGGACCACAAGAATCAAGTCAAAGATTTGAAATATAAAGAAGAAGAAGAAAAAAAAAAAAAAAAAAAAAAAAAAAAAAAAAAAAAAGCAGAAAAGTAAAAAGAAAAAAGAATCCAAAATTTGAAGATAGTGTAAGGAGCCTCTGGGACAACCTCAAGTGTACATCTGTTCGGAGGTGCCAGAACAAGAGAGAGAGTAAGATTCTGAAAACCTATTTGAAGAAATAATGACTGAAAATTTCCCTCACATGGTGAAAAAAATAGATGTACAAGTCCAGGAAATGCACAGAACCCCAAACAAAAGGAATCCAAAGAGGACCACACCAAGACACATCATAATTAAAATGCCAAGAGCAAAAGACAAAAAGAATATTAAAAGCAGCAAGAGAAAAACAGTTAATTACCTACAAGGGAGCACCCATACAATTGTCAGCTGATTTCTAAACAGAAACTATGCAGGCCAGGTGGGAGTGGCAAGAAATATTGAATAGCAAGAACCTAGAACCAAGATTACTCTACCCAGCAAAGCTACCATTCAAAATTGAAGGGCTGTGGGGGGTTCGGAAAGAGACAGTACAAAAATTGCACCCTTATGGATGAGGACAGTGGAGGGAGGGAGGTAAGGACAGAGGGTGGAGTGAGAACCAGGTGGAGGGGAACTATGTGGGGCGAGGTGCGGGGGAGGAAGAACAATTGTAATAATCTGAACAATAAAGATTTATTTATTTAAAAAAAAAAAAAAAAGGAATGTCTAAAGCACATGTGTCAAACACAAGGCCCGCGGGCCAAATCCGTCCTGCCAGGCCTTGCAATGTGGCCCGCACCTCGCTGTCATCACTGCACTCCGCTGCGTTTCCATCACAATGACAGTTTATGACTGTTCAGTAAACCATTCGGCCCGCGATTTAGGCTGGATTTTAGATTTTGGCCCCTTCTCTGATTGAGTTTGACACCCCTAGTCTAAAGGGTCAGGTAATAGCCTATCTCAACAAAGTAAGCTGAGTGTAAGAATAACAGGGTCCCAGAATGGAATCATGTATATATTTATGATAAGTGTATATGCTATCCATATTCTATTTTATACTAAACTTTTTTAAATAACTAAAAAATCAAATATTTAATTATTACTATTTCCTTCATAATTCATTACTGCTTTTATGTGAAATAAAAAACCTTACATCTTTATTCTATACTACGATGTCAGTTAGGTCCTGTATATTTTCACTGTGATATATGTTTTACAGCCATAAATACTTATGATAAGGTTGGTAGGTAGCTTTATGTAGATTGATTTTTCAAATTCATATCTCTAAAACTAAGCTTTTCTCAACATGGATAGAATTATTGTAAATTGTTCTTATAAGTCGAGTAATCTCCCTCAAGATCTGTGTGTAATATTGCCATCGTTAGTCTGGCTATCAATGTTGTCATATTTAGTCTTCAATGCCATTTTGTACTACATTTTGAGAACTTCAAATCATAGCACTTCATTTGTGCTATCAAAAATCAAGAAGCAAAATAAGCCAGTTAGAGAAAGCCAAATATCACATGATCTCACTTATATGTGGAATCTAATTAACAAAATAAACTGCCAAACAAAATAGGGCCAAAAGTATGGATGCATGGAACAGATCTCAGGGGTAGGATTATAGGAAGAGATTGACCAAAGAACATATATAAATAAAGCATAACTCATGGACACAGACAATAGTGTGAGAGAGGCCTGGGGAGCTATGGGGTCTGGGTGGAGGGAGGCAAAAAGGGAAAAAATGGGAGATGTCTGTAATACTATAACAACAAAACATTTTTAATTAAGAAAGCTAAAGCAAATAATTCTGGTTTATTTTCATAAAGTTTGAAATCCAGTATTTAATGAATGCCCCAGTTTCAAAGAATAAATTTCAGGCTATCAATTTCATTTCTGGGTACTGACTGCAATATAGGAAAGTGGGCTAAATTATTCTTTAACAACTGAAATTTCCCAAAGACTCTATTTTGTCAGAACTGAGAGAAGCAAATGAGATATTTATGCAAATACTTGTAAATGCACCTAGAGAAAAAAAATTCAAAGGGTGTAAATGAGTTGTAATGTCAGCAAGAAACTTGGAACTTCGAGACAGTCTTTGGAGATAGCACTGCTCCCTTTGATGACATGAACGGTTAAAAAAAAAATTCTGTCATCTCAGTATAAGTAAACCAGTAGATTCATCAAGCAGACACCTGCCTGATTTTGCTCCAAGATGCAAAAGAATGGCCAATTCATGGCATCAATTATTGAATTCATGGCCTGTCTCATTTTAGCTTTTCAGCCCAAAGCAAACTCCTGATGAATGAGAAAATTAACAATTATGGACTTCAATATTTAGTGCCCCTACAAAATACTGCTGCCTGGGGATCTGGTGTTTGACAGGTTCAATGTTAGCCCCATCCTTTGTGAGAACCCCATCTGTAGTCAACACATAACTCAGAACAGAGCATCCTACGTCCACTGGTCTGAGATCTTTCTCATCACAAAGTAAACCATCCCCTGATGTTGTGCTTTGCAGAACTCTCTTTGCAGAATCTCTTTCCAAAATTCTCAAAATATCACAAATAAGCATAGCTAATAGCATGTTATTATTTATATCTGTGTTCTCTTTTGTTGCAATAGGAAATGCCACCAGTGATTTAACTTATTCTGAAAGCTTTGTATCATATTTTTAACATGCTGAGTACAATGATTCTGATTATACTAAAATTTGCAAATGCTGGTTTATTTTCTGGACACATGATTTCTGCTGCATTCAAAAGAGACTCTTTTATAAACAGTACTAGTGGCCCAGTGCACAGAATTCATACAAGGGGGGAGGGTGTCCCTAAGACCAGTCTGACCCCTCTCCAATCTGGGATCACTAGGGGGATGTCCAACTGCCAGTTTAGGCTCGATCCCAGCAGTTGGACATTCTTCTCACAATCCAGGACCACTGGCTCCTAACTGCTCACCTGCCTACCTGCCTGATCACCCCTAACCACTCATTTTGCTGGCCTACTTGCCCCCAAGTGTCCCCCCTGCTGGCCTGATCACCCCCAACTGCTCCCCCCACCTGCTCTGTGCCAACTGCCCTCCCCATTCCCCGCTGGCCTGATCACCCCCAACTACCCTCCCCTGGCGTCCTGATTGCCCCTAACCACTCTGCCTTGGCCTCACCACCATGGCTTTGTCCAGAAGGACATCCGAAAGGTCTCCCAGAAGGTCTCCCGGTCTAATTTGCATATTACCCTTTTATTAGTATAGATTGTCTGTAAAAAGGTTTTGATGTCATAGCTATTTTTTCACCTAAGAGAACTGCATTTCACAGTAATCACTTATTTTGCTTTCATTCAGAAACAAACACTGCCATTTTTCCTGTTCATAAGTTTCTCAACCCCCATCTTTTTAGTATACCAGTGATGACTGGTTTTATTATGTTATAATTTTTCTGTACAAACAATCTTTGTTTTTTGGTTCACATGCACCAAAAAAAAGTACACTCCTATTTTTTTTTTTTTCTTGAATCCTCCACTCTTGTTTTTTAGGAGATGCACAAACTTATTTTTCTACAATTTAAAAAAGAGCAATAAACATGTGGTAGGAAATAACAACTGCATTTGATTTCAGTGTTGGAAATGCAAAGGAAAGTATGTGGACTTTGACAGACTGTGGAGGGCATAGCCCTTCCACAGAGGACATTGCCCCACAATTTAGGAATGTCTGCCTTGTGGGGATACCTAGCCTTCTGTTTTTAACAGAAACTGAAAATCAGACATTTTAAAGAAAAATCTCCTAATTATTTAAATGTTGGTACCTTATTCAACTTTCATTAAAACAGCGAGCTGGTCAGCATTGTTTCAGCCAGGCAAAACAACTCAGCAAGTAAGTACAAGGTGGTACATGTCACCTCCTGGGGCTTGGAAGTGGGCACTGGAAAGACATTTGAGAGGCTTCCTTTTGAGAGGTAAGAAGGAATACAAAACAGTCATATTTTTGAGACAATGAAGGAAAGAACCACAACCCAAGATCTTATCTTCACTTTCAGCTAAGGGTGGCTCCTTAGCTAAGTGAGAGCAAGAATGAGTGTGTATCCAGAGCATCCATTGCCTTCTTGCACATTAGCATTCGTGGTCCTCTGTCAGAAGAGAAAGCATTGCATAAGACTGGGTTGTCCCTAGCATCTATGGTACCTATGAATGAAGAAAGGACGTTCTCTCCTTCAGGAGGATGCAGACTCCTGCTGGATGACTTAGTGAGAGGAGGAGGATGGGCTGGACTTCAGCCCCCAGGTGTCCTTCATCCACGTACCTTCATGAACAACCTGTTGTGAGGAAAAATTGTTTCCTCATATTATACACAATATTAGAAAAATGACTATGTTGTAAAGTAATGTACAAATATTTATTCTTTTCTAGGAACATGGGTGACATTTGGAGGTCAAATTTCAGATGAGGTAAGTTACTTAATGTCTTCCATTATGCTGATCAAAGAAAATGCAGAGAGAGCTATGTGGTGGGAGTATTCTGCCTGAGTTTCTGTCATTTTACAAGGATTGCTTTAATCATGGGAAATGGCCAAGATTGACTCAAGTACTATTTTCAATTTTATCTTGCTTCTTGTATTTTTCACATTTAGACTATTAATCTTTGAGACTGTCAGTGTATTATATGTGCAGACTCGGTAGGCAGGGAGAAGGAACCAGTTTTGAATAAATATTAGTCACTTTATAGAAAGATTGCATTGCTGTTGTTTGTTTTAGCTAGGGTGACCAAACTGGTCCCAATTGGCTTGGGCTTTCTCATTTTAGCAGGAGGTTTCTTAGACAAAGACAAACCAGGACCATTGGTCATCCCAGCTTGGACAAGTTAATCCAATTGCTCTGAGTCTCAGTTTCTCCTTTTATGTAAAAATGGGATAATAATGTGGTCCTTCAACATCTGTAGAAAGAATTAACCACGTTAAGACATTTATATAGCCCTTTGACTAGTAGGTAGCAGACACTCAAAAAGTGGCAGACACTCATTACATTCCTTTAAATTTTTGTTTACAATTCAAAGACAGGGCTTATCGTGGTTATATGCTTATCATTGTATTTAAGGAATACTTTCATATGAAACCTTACCATTATAACAGCATGGGAGGACCTAGAGAAAAATATGTAACTCAGTTAGAGAAAGCTCATTACCATATAATTTCACTCATATGTGAAATCTAAAGAACAACAACAATAAACACATTGAAACAGACTCGTAGATACAGAGAGCAGATTGATCATTGTCAGATGAGAGGGAGGGTGAAGAACTGGGTGAAAAAGTAAAGGGATTAAGAATCTAAACTAATAAAAGGCCTGTGGCCTTCATGACCAAACAAACAGCAGCTCTCATGGTGGATGGGATGCGAGTTTCTAGCAGTGATGGGTGGGGGAGCCTGCTGAGGCAAACGGAAGTGAGCTACTTACTCATGCACAATTTTGTGTACATTGAGCCTCTAGTTACTTATAATGTGTTGAGCCTGGTACCTGTCCTAGAACACATCATTTTATAAAGGTAGTTCTTACTGTCATTCCTAAACAGAATCTTGGGGGGCCTGGGGATCTTTACCCAGCTCCCAAGGTCACTAACATTTGTTTATAGATCCAGGGGAGGAATATTATCCACATACTCTTATCTGTCTGAATGCCTGTTCCCAGTATTGGGCATAGGTCACCATAGAAAGCTTGTCACATAGGGGATTCCTTGAAAAAAAAGACTCTGAGATGGAGATTATCATGCAGAACAGTATTAGGAAGTGATCTCAGAATCAACACAAGGCAGAGAAAGAAGCAAAATTAGGTAGACAGTGAAACTGAGGCATGATGCAGTCTCAACAGTGACCTCAGTTGACCCCACTGGGAGTTCCAAAGCTGAGATGGCCACGTAGGATTGTCTCAAATTGGAGCAAATGACTGAGCATTTACATTTCTTGTATGACCAACCATTGGATAGAGGCTACTCTGGCTAGTAGGTTTGATGTTGGGCTAGGCCAGTGGTCAGCAAACTGTGGCTCGCAAGCCACATGCAGCTCACAAGTCACTGTTTGCCCCTCTGTTGACTAATGAGTTTGCCTAGACTCTGTATTCCAATAATTACAGGATGTTGTTGTTCCTTGTGATTAAGCCCCTATCCCAGTGGTCGGCAAACTCATTAGTCAACAGAGCCGCAGTTTGTTTGACCACTAGGCTAGGCGATTCTCTTTAGCTAAGTGCAATTTCCAGAGCGGTCTGATAACTTGAAGGCCAGGAGTCCTATGGGAATAAACCCTTCAATTCTTAACCTGTTAACTGAGCGGGACCTATAAATACGTCAAATGTAAACAACATATTGGGAACGGGTAGGACGTATGAATACGTCCTGGAAATATATGTTGCGCCCTGAGAGGGACGGTCTATATTTTTTGTAATCTTTATAATTGTTTGTAAAATTTATAATTTTTTAATTCGATGTTTCCATTTTTTTGTTGGTATTCTTTTCTGTTTTTTGTAATTTAATATTTTCCTTTGTGCTTTATATATAAATAAACGAAAAAATATATATATATCATTTATTTTAATTAAGTATAAATAAATAAAAATAATAATATGAAATTATGTCTTCCGGGTGTGATGTACTGACACATCCTAGTGAAAGAGTACGTGCCCATTGCAGGTTGCGTAATTAAAAAGAGAACTCCCCAGTTAACAGGTTAAGGAGGATCTAGGCATCACAGGGCCCTCTGACTGGTATCAGGTAGGATGTGTGGAGGAGGCCTAGCTTGCCTAGGTCAGAGTGTGCATGGCTGGCCTCTGAAATGAATCATTTCTAAAAACTGCACAATAAAGTTGGCATGAGTGGCTGGAGCTGCTCTCATCTCAGATGCAGATCAGACAATATCTACTCTCCTTCCAGAGAGAGCTGTGGCTTCCCCCCAGGTTTCTATAGAGAGAATGCCAGCAAGGAGAAGAAAGGGAGGCACAGGTAGACCAGTCACACCAGTGGCTGAATTGCTGGAGCTCAAATATTTCCAAATGGAAAAAAAAAAAATGTAAGCCATAGCAATAAATTCACCTCCCTAGATTTTCCCACTTTCTCTCTGGCTTTGGATGAGCTCAGCACAAAGCAAATACAAACATAGGATCCTGGGATGACCACACCATATGTGCTGGGTGACAAAATCATCAGTGTTGCCTCTGGAAGGGATGTCCCTGTTACTAGGATAGTTCAACCATATATTAAGTTGCAACTGGACAGGGATCTCATCAAAATTTTTCAAATATGAAACTAAATAACCCTGTGAGGTACCTCCCAAAGATGACTTAGCTTCATTATAAAATCAAATTAGATGTTATTCATATGAATAGTAATTTTAAATAATGGTAAGAGTGTATTATCATCTGATAGCACTTAATTTTCAGAATTTTACTTACATTTCTCATCAGTAAAGTAGTTAGGGTTCTTTCAATTGCAGGTACCAATAAACTCAACTCAAATGGGCTTAACCAATAAAGGAAAAAATTATTTTGTCTTTCACCCTGGAAGTGTAGACCTAGAATAAGCTTCAGGGTTGACTCAATCAGTGGGCCCCACTTCATTTCCTAGGAATTCTCTTGATCCTGTATTCCTTGGTAGTAAGAGAACTATAGGAATCCTAGGCCTAGCTGAAACCAGTTTGGCTCAGTGGATAGAGCATCGGCCTGTGGACTGAAGGGTCCCGGGTTCTATTCCGGTCAAGGGCATGTATTATACCTTGGTTGTAGGCACATCCCCAGTAGGGGGTGTGTGGGAGGCAACTGATCGATGATTCTCTCTCATCGATGTTTCTAGCTCTCTATCCCTCTCTCTTCCTCTCTGTAAAAAATCAATAAAATATATTTTTTTAAAAAACAAAAGGAATCCTAGGCCTCAATGAGGATAATACCTGCAGGGGAAGAAAAGAGGAAGTGGGCTTCCTCGGGGCCCCTGGGTTCCATGGGGGACCTGAACAGAATCACCCTTTTTTTTCAGATGTAGAAACTGAAATACAGAGTGGTCAAATGACTTAGCCAAGTGTGTTTATCGAGAACATGGTACATTCAGGACCAGAATTTGGTCTTCTGACTTAGCTCAGTGATTTCATTGCTTCTCATTGAGGTCTTCAAATGCTATTGTTGGGAAACATCTCAGCAATCATTTAGTCCAACTCTCCATCTAGGAGTCTTCATCTTATCTTAAAATTTCTCTCTATATAAGATTTATTATGTACTAAAGGCCTGATGCATGAAAATTCATGCACCGGAAAAGGGTACCTCAGCCCAGCCTGCCCTCTTTATAGTCTGGGAGCCCTCAGGGGCAGGAGGTGACCTGTTGATCAGGGGAAGGCAATGCCTATATCACACCTCTGCTGCTGCCACTGCCAGCAACATAAGCCTTGGCCAGCCCTGGTTACCTGAGCCTCAGGTGGTCCTGGGTGGCTGGGCAGCTGCCATCCAAAGGGTTGCCTGTGCTTTGGGCAAGCCCTAGGCAGCTGGGAAGCTGCCATCCAAGGCTTGCCTGCACCTTGGGCTGGTCCTGGGCAGCTGGGGAGTGAAGAGGACTGGGGCTATGGGTGCTGCCATCTTTGAGAGTAGGGCAGTTAATTAGCATATTCCCTCCTTATTGGCTGAGGGTGCCATCATCCTTGAGGGTGGGGTAGTCAATTAGCATATTCCCTTCTTATTGGCTGTGGGCATCACCATCTTTGTGATGATGTGAAAGTCAATTAGCATATTCCCTTTTTATTAGATAGGATGTTTTCCAATAACAATCCATCAGCATGTCATGTGACATAGCACAAGGTTAATATTATAATAATACAAGCACAGAAACTTCATAAACACAGAACAGTCATGATGGGAAAACTATGCTTATCTTAATTTTACTCTCTACTTGGGGTACATTAAAAGTAGTAATAGTACTTTTGCTGCTTTCTTCCTAAAGGATTTACAGGGACTCCATTGTGCTAGCCTAATAATTTTCTTGGTTGGCCAATTTTAAAAACAGGAAAGTAGTTTATCTTAGAAATGCTGATGAAGCACTTCAGCCCACAATCAAAAGCATAAGTGGAAAAATCAATTTTAATTATTTGTGAGGTGTGTAATTTCCCAATTGACTAATAAGTCTAAATGAAAAAAATGTCCCCTCTCCACCTTTCTTTATCGCTATTCCTCAATGGCTGTCCCTCAAGCTGTCATTTATAGCTATCCTCCACTCTCTTGTCACATTTGCCACTTGCATCAGCAGCACAAAGGAGAGGACCAAAGCTGACAGTGAGGAGCTGGGTCCCCATGCCCCGCTCCCTCCTCTGCTTGTCCTGTGGATTCGGCTGGCTGGCCACTCTGATAGTGTCTGGGGTTTTGCTGAGTTAAAACAGTCACAGTTCCATCTAACCTTTCATTCATCAAAAGAGTCTGCTAAGTTTTGAGGAAAAACAGGTTCAAACTTTTAACTCACAAGTCACCCAGCTGCCACAATCCATTGGCCTGGAGTAAGGAAAAGAAATGGAGTCAGCTGCAAAGCAAGTGACCCTCTGTGTCAGAGAAATTACGGTGCCAAAGAGAATGTCAAACCAGGCCTTCCAAGCAGAGTGAGCAACGATCTATCCACCTCACTGGGCCCCCTAGGGCTGCTGGATCCCAGCGCTGAGGGAAGTTCCTCAGTGCCCAGCTATGTCTCAGGGGAACATGTATCCAGCCTCAACAGGCTAGCTGAAATTTTGGTTTTCTTTTTTACTACAACTGAGAAAAACAAGCTATGGTTAGGGAAATTTCATTGTTCTTAAAGATTCAGAATTGCTTCCCACGTTTGAAAAGCATTTGGCGCCGAAGCCGGTTTGGCTCAATGGTAGAGCGTTGGTCTGCGAACTGAAAGGTCCCGGGTTTGATTCTGGTCAAGGGCATGTACCTTGGTTGCGGGCACATCCCCGGTAGGGGGTGTGCAAGAGGCAGCTGGTCGATGTTACTCTCTCATCGATGTTTCTAGCTCTCTATCTCTCTCCCTTCCTCTCTATAAAAAATCAATAATATATATATATATTTAAAAAAAAAAAAAAGAAAAAGAAAAGCATTTGGCTTTTCTGACTGACTGCATCCTCTTGCAGGTTGCCGAACGGCTGATGACGATCGCCTACGAAAGCGGAGTTAACCTTTTTGATACTGCCGAGGTCTACGCTGCTGGAAAGTAAGTTGGTACCTGTTTGTGTCCCTCAAGTGGCATTTCTAGAACCATGGGACTCTGCCCTAACCATTGTTGACATGCAGGTGAGAAGGATCTGTCCTTGCCACATGTGTTATGGCACCACTTTTCCCCCTCCCTCACAGGAGCATCTCTGACCCCTTCTGCCCACCCAAACCTTCCCACCTCTGGCCCCTGTATGAAAAATGGGCTGGAAGCAATTGCTTTGGTCTACATGAGCGGCAGAGGAGTGGAGGCAGTGGAGATCAATAAATATTAGTTCAAAATATGAGTGAGCAAATAAAAGAGCAGATTCCAATGTGGTTATTACTTTGTAACCACATTTCATAGTTTCTCAACCCTCGAGGGAAACTGGGCCATCTTCAAAGGGAAGCAGGAACTGATTCTCCTGTTTGCAGGCTTGTTCCTCCACATAACATTACAGGTAGATCAGAGATTAAAGAAGGATCCTTAAAGATACCAAGAAATCCAATATCTATACATACAGAAGCCTAAGCGATTGTTAGGGCCAGTTGACTGGTCACTATGATGCACACTGACTACCAGGGGGCAGACACTCAATGCAGAAACTGCCCCCTGGTGGTCGTCAGTGCCCTCTCACAGCCAACCTCTCATGGCCCTGGCCTGCCAACCTCCTGTGGTTCCTCCCCCAAGCCAGCCAATCTCCCGCAGTCCCTCCCACTGGGATCACCCCCATCAGGACTGGGCAAGATGGCCCTCATGGCCCTGATTGCTGGCCCAGGTCCACGGACCCCACCCTGGGCCTCTATTCTCTTATAAGAGGGTATTTCAAACCGACTCTGCGGACAGAGGGGGCTGCAAAGAGGTCTCACTTCTTTTGCTGGATAAGTCCCATCTAGCTACAACCTTCCCCTGGACCCCAGAGAAGGCTTGGGCTCTAGGACAGGGCTCACTGCTAAGTCAGAAGACCTGGGCAATGTGCCTTCATGTAGCCCCAAGGTCCATGTCCTTCAGGTTCCAGCACAACAAGCACATTTTAGAACAGAACGGAACACCTTGGCCTCCTACTGTGAACACGGACGCAGCTCCAAGAACTGAAAGGCACTAAGTAGCGGGCAGCGGATCTGCAATTTTCTAACAGGATTGCGGTGCATGGTTACCTGCAGGCCTAATTCCCACCCCACGCTGGGTGAGAATGACAAGCAAAATGCTAGACTTGCTGAATCAGGTTCATCGTTGCCTGGTCCAAGTGTATTTTCCTTGCATGGGTTTCCTCCTTCTCAAGGGCAGGCGTAAATGTTTAAGAACCCTCTAGGACAGTGGTCGGCAAACTCATTAGTCAACAGAGCCAAATATCAACAGTACAACAATTGAAATTTCTTTTGAGAGCCAAATTTTTTAAACTTAAACTTCTTCTAACGCCACTTCTTCAAAATAGACTGGCCCAGCCTGTGATATTTTGTGGAAGAGCCACACTCAAGAGGCCAAAGAGCCGCATGTGGCTTGCGAGCCGCAGTTTGCTGACCACAGCTTTAGGAGGTTCAGAGCCCACATTCCTGATGTTTTCTGTTGAGTCCAAGAAGAGAAAGTGAAATTGATAAGTAAGGCCTTGCTCCTTTCAACATCATACCCTTTCTCCGTGTTTTCTTCTTTTGTTGAATCCTGCTCAATACCAAATGGGGCTAAGGTTGAAAAGGGGGAAGAGTGGTAAACAAGTGTATAAAGAGTTCTGTTTGTATTTCTACTGTGAAGAAGAATCAATTCTGGTTAATTACTGTTTGATTTGTCAGTGTGTAACTGAGATTGGTTCCCACTGTGAAAAGCAAGATTGCAAAAGGCAACCATTAGAGAGACAGAAGGGGAGTGGGGAAAGAACACTGTGCAACATTCAGCACATGTCTATTTGGGGTGCGCTCCATAGCTAACTGAATCGTGGCCTATTACCAGGCTCCCAAATACACTCCAACAGAGAGGGAACCTTCAGTCAAGACGCACAGTGATTAGCAATGACTCCCATCTATAGGACCTTTTTGTGGACAAAGTGCTCATTCCATTGATGTCCCCACTCACAAAGCCTCACAGAGCAGAATTGGCCTTACCAGGAGGGGCCTAGAAGATAGTTTTAGTTTCCTCAAGCATGGGTCTCAACTGGGCTAAGAAAATGGGAATAGGACAGTGGGTATGTCCTCAATATACCTCTCCATGACCCAGCCTTAGGTGCAGGGAGAACACTTCTCTACACTTCCTTATGTCCTGCGTCTATAACAATGCTTGTCACTGGAACCCAGGACATTCTCTATGTGGGCCACTGCATCTTCAGCCCTTACATTTGGGTCTTCTAGACCCACACATGGGTACTTTTATTCTGCAAGATCTCCTGGGAGTCGATATTGTCGGTCTAACCAGTGTGAGCTCTCTTTGTCCTCCCAGGTCATAATTGGAAGCCATAGCAAATAGAAGCAAAACCTTGACTCCCCTTTGGGACACAGCCAAACAGGACATTTAGAGATGAGATCAGTGGTTTAAAAACACCAAACTGCCAAATGACTGCACTGTTTCTTGGTGTCAGGACCACAGGTGGTCTCCTGCCAGCGTGAAAGGATTTGGCAGGTGCCTCTGCAATACTTTGGAGCAGAATTCTGCAGGCACAAGCAGAAACAGTGGAAACTGTGCTGCCAGCGAGAGCAGCTTCTATTTTTAGGGTCATGGAGGCTCTGAGTTCAGACAAGGAATGGCTCTGGTGTTTTGCGTTGACTCTTGCATTTCCAGGCCACTGTACCCTAAGACACTGTCTGTGTTCCTCTCCAGGGCTGAAGTGATTCTGGGGAGCATCATCAAGAAGAAAGGCTGGAGGTAATGCATTCACCACCATCATTTACTCGCCTTTAAAAAGACTGACATTATTTTATAACCAGAGAAGGGAAAATAAAATAGGATGGCAACTGACCAAAAGGTTGTCCAAAAAGAAGTCAACTCTTAGTTGATTTACAGAGTTTTGAAAATAGGTACCAGCAAGTTCATTACTTGTGCTTCAAAACTTATTGACTAGTCTTTAATCACAAAGAATTACCATGAGGATAAGCCAAGAAGGAGGGAATGTTTAGGAAGTATTTGTCAATAAAAGAAAGGGACATTTTCATGGCTTCTGGCTGCAATTTAGTGTAATTTGGTGAAGGAAGCCATATGACAGGAGGCTGGTTATATATACACATGTATTTATGTTCATTGTTCATTTTATTACCAACTCTGAATGCAAAGAGATGATGAAATAAGAAGTCCTGGGGATAAATATCCCAAAGCTTTCTTATCTTCCAGTGTCTCTTCTGTGTCTGGAGAGCCCTATTGTCTGGGGGATCACATTCCATTCCATCACCTTCTGTAGTCAAAGCCGGGGGATTGTTCCCCTGAACCCAGATGTTATGGTAACAACAGATGCCATAACATCTGGGAACAGGGGAACAATCCCCCTATATTTCACTATGCGTCTCTGCCCCAATAACCCCTTCTCCCCACCATGAGTACAGAATCAGGCAAAGCCCAACAAAGACCATTGGACAAGTTTGGGTTTCTCTTCTGTTCTGGTATAATCTCTGCTGATAGCCAAATGGGTAACAATTCAATAGTATCAGTGAGAAAGTGCAAAGAACACTGCACCTGTGCATGTACACAGATTGCATAAAATTTAGGCTAGGAAAAAGGGACATTGTCACAGAGTATAGATCAAGACTGATTTCATTATGCCTTTTCACAAAGCATTTAAACTCCCTCTGGAGGGAAAGCTAGAAGGATGGAGGAGAGCTCCATGTATTCTTAGGGCTCCTTACTCCTTACTCTTAGAGAAATCTTTGGTAAGGATAGAGGGCCTTGTGAAATAGAAAACCAGAAATTTATGAAGTTGTCAATAAATAAAGTTTGGTGACCTATTTTCTCCCTCTTGCTTCTCTTCCCCCCATCTTCAGGGATTGTAAATCTATTAAGAAAGAACCATATTCAACCTTAAACATGGAAACATATTCATCTTGCCTGAGTTACCTGCCCACTCAGCATGCTGGTCAATCCACCACTATCCAAACAGGGACTGTACCCATTTTCTAGAGCTGCTGTGACAAAGTGTCACAACCTGGTTGGCTTGAACCAAAAGAAATGTATGTTCTCACACTTCTGAAGGCCAGAAATCTAAACTCAAGGTTTCGGCAAAGTCACGTTCCTCTGAAGCTCTGGATAAAATCATTCCTTGCTTCTTCCCAGCTTCTGGTGTTCTTAATGGCAAATATTGGTGTCTCTTGATGCACATACAGCTCTTCAACATCTGCCACTATCACCACCTGGTATTCTCCCTTCCTATGTGTCTCTGTGTCTTCTTATGAGCACACTGTTCATACTGGATTCTCCAGTGTGACCTCAACTTAATTTAACTAACTACAAGTTTTCAAATCAGCTACATTATGAGACACTGGGGGTTAAGACTTTAATAATATATATTTTTGAGGGACACAATTCAACCTATGACAGAGACCTTGGGGATGAGTCCACTAGCAGTCCAGTGAGATCTGAAGCAGGGGTAGGCTGACAGAGTCCACCTGAGGAAGGAGGGGAGGAGTCAGTGCCATGGCTCTTTTCCCCTGGACACCCAGAGGACATTTAGCCATCAAGTTCTATAGTTTGTGGAGCCTATTATATATCTCAAGGAAGTAGATTAACATGCATCTTTCACACATTGCTTTTCAGTCTTGCAAATAAAAGCTTAAGCTATCACCAGACCACAGAATATTGATATCCATTCACCATACTCCCAGAAAACTGGTGAAAAGATAAACTGTATCATCGAAGCATTCAAGCAATTTCAACTAGAGTATACTTGGCTTCTGCTCCCGGGGCCACCACTTGCTAACTGTGCTGTCCAGGACATGTTACTTCACTTCTTTGAGTTTCAATTTCTCCACCTCTAAAATGAATGTCATACCTGCCCTAAATGTCATTCTGATAAAGTGACATAAAGGGAACAAATGTCTTCTGAAACCTGTGCTTTAACAGAGTAAATATTCATGTTATCATTCTCCACCCACTCTAAATGCCTCCATGAAGCCAGTGAAAATTGGCCAGTTTGCTGTCTGCTCATGTTGTTTGAACATTAATGTTAGTGTGCACACCCACGTAGGCCAAACATTTTACAGAAAGCCTAATTTTGAAAGAATAAGTGAGTCTGCGGGGGTACTATTTGAATAGAATGTGCAGCTTCCGCGGGTCCACATGCTTTGAATAATCAAGAGGGCTGCATTCATTTTTTTTTTATACTATTCCATCCAGCATTTTGTTGAAGCTCTGACAATGTTTGCTAAAGCAGACCTGGCTCCCCCAGGATATCACTACAACACTAGGTATCATGCAGTTGATGGATCAACCAGGAAAGTGCATCAGCTCTTCTGGAGTATGTGATCTTCAGATGATTCTATCTGTAGACCTTCCATTACAGTGATTCTCATTACTTTTCAGGGAATTAACTTCAGTGGGATGCGGTTGCTGACATTCTCTACGAATTTTTCTTGTCGCAGCCAAGCTGTCAGACTTGCTACCACCATCTCTCATTGGTTGTCATTCATCAGGCTAGGCTCTTATACCTGAGGGTCCTGAGGTGTTGCCGCTACAGCTGATGAAATTATAAATGCCTTGCTTCAACTATTCCCAAAGTTTGGTCTTGACCTTTGAATCAAAAATTATTTTTTTTTCTAGGCAAGTTCAATTGAATTACATACCTGGAGAAATTAAATTACACTGAGATCTACCTCTGAATTTTAAATTATATGACTATAGTTCTCAAGACATATTTCCTTTTCCATGATCATAATGGCATTTCCTCCCTTTGAGTGTGATTTTGAAAAAGTAATACATTTGCTAACAAGATTTCCACATTATATTCCCTTAAGAATAAGGTGCTAAAACTTTGAGTTAAGGATTTTTTAACTGTTTTCCTAAAATAACATTTCCATTAAAGTGACACCCATAGAAATTTCATTCCTACTTATTGACTATTGTAATTTAGTTCATTATTCATATTTCCATGTAGTCAAGTCCTGCCTGTGAATGTGATGATTAGAAAACGTAGTAACTCAGAGCCATTAGGTCCATGGCCCTTGGAAGGTGGACTTACCCCAGGAAAGTTCACACTCAATCAAGGTTATCTTATATGCCAAGTAAGTGTTAGTGGGTGGCTGTTTGTTTGAGATCCTACAGCCATCCATCAGTTAGTCCTTTCACTTACCCTCCTCATTTACTATTTCTGACCCTCCATGCCACCCTTCCCTTTGCTTTGCCACTACCCACTCACCTATTTGCTGTCATAGCCCTCAGCTTCCTCCAGCCCCTCCAGGTAAAGATCACTTCTATTCAACTTCTCCTCTTCTGAGATCTGACTTCAAGTCTTTGTTCTCACATTTTTTTTGTGATGTGAATTAACAAATTTATCACTTTGCCAATTTTTTAAAAATAGGTGGTACAATAAATTATTTGGGTGTTATAATAATATGACAGTATAATTACAAATAATTTATTTAATATTTCTCTGTGTGTGTTTGTCTGTTTAACATACAGGAGGTCCAGCCTGGTCATAACAACTAAACTCTACTGGGGTGGAAAGTAAGTTAAATAACTTTTGTTTTTCTCTACTTGATAGGAAACAAATAGTAGTTTTATATTTTTAGGCCATCCTTTCACATCTAATATGCAAAAATCAATTGGTTTAGAGTGAAAGATGATTATTTCTCACATGAAGGAAATATCAATGAGCCTAGGATTCAATTTGAACAAGATGCTTCCAAAGAAATTTAGTAGCATGAGGTCACTTGTTACTAAGTGATTCACAGAGAGTTTTCAAAAATCAACCTCATACTTAGAACCAAAATAGAGTCCAAATTTTGGGGAAAGGAAATGAGCACATAGCATCACCGAAGAAAAGCTATTCAACTCTGCCAACACTCAGCAACTTCTCCAGAATACGAATATAAAAATATCTTGTCTGGTCCCACTGTACTAGTAAGTCTCTGATCCTTTCCTCAGAGGGCTCTGAAAGTGCTGATCAAAGGGGGCATCTCCCTGGAGAATAACATAGAGCTTCCTGGGTTACTCGCTGCCAGGCCACATGAAAGAGAAGTCCTCTCTCTGGTGTGGGGTTCAGGATGAATGGCTTCTGGTGGGCCTTCTAGTGTTTGAACTGATACTTACATTATCCAGCAGGACTTAGAAGTTCTGGTCTTTAAGACAAACTTGTACGAATACAGCAAGCTATTCCATAAGCCTTTGAATGGAAATCTCAAATATTTCTTAACAAAATGTAAATACAAACACACGTAACTTTATTTACCACCCTATAATTGATAGGAAATAGTTAAAAACAAAATTGGAGGCAGAGACCAGATTTTTAGAAATCTTCTAACCAAAATGTATGTGTATCCGCCCCCCCCACACACACAGACTCATATTTTATTGCTGTTTTCGAGCCTGCATGTGATGAATATGAAAACAAAAATGGAATTTAGATCTTCACTACCATTGTAGTCTATATAAAAATAAGGCAACACGGTGCCTATGAGAAATGCAAATTCACATTGTCTATGCTCTGATTCATGGTGCCATGGCTTGGTGCTTTTGCAATGGTACTCAAAACCTTGTGTATGGTTTGGAAATAATCAGGAAGTAAGACAATCTGCAAGAACCAGTATGTATAGAGAATTACATATAATATTATCTAATATACTTATAAAAGGTACAAAATTGCCAAAGGTGAAAGGTGAACTACTAAGGTTGACAAAGATATTGATGTTGAAGAAATATTTCAGCAATGCTTTAAAAACCAAGCACCACATTCCTTTCCAGTTGGCCAGAGTTTGAGAATGATCTGAAATGGCAAAAGTCCTGGTTGAATGTTGGTCTTCGTAAGATACAATTTAAGGAAAAGTTGTTTGGTCACATTTTATAAAAATAATTGTTCATTTCTTTTGAAAGTCAAAAGGCACCTTCCAATTTGCTTCTTTTCTCGGAAAAGCTAATGCCATCAGCAGCCTGGCAAGCTTATAGTAAGCTCACACATTTCTAGCAAGCCTTTTATTTCATTTGTGTGGGATTGGTAAGGACAAGGTGGGGAGGTTGAGCCCTGTGTCAAGTTATATATGGACAGGGTGTGGGTGGCCGAGTTGTTATTATTGAGGGGTGGTGACAGTCATGCTAGTTTCACTTCCTGGGTTCTCTGAAGAAAAGGGGCTCAGTGTGCTGCCCACCAGCTTCCTCTTCAGCCTGCAGTGGTGCAGAATTTGCCAAGAACAGGGTATAAAATTAGCAATTCCATCCAGAACAACCATCTCCTGTACTTTTGAAACAGCGGTGAAAGAAAGCACACCCCACTCAAAGTCCTTTGCTTCTTTTTCTTGTTAGAGCTGAAACGGAAAGAGGGTTGTCAAGAAAACATATAATCGAAGGTAGGTTCTGCTGCTTCATTTTACTTTTATCTGTGGGCTGCTGGTTCATGGACGGTATCAGCCACATACATTCAAAACACATTGGGAGAATTACAATCAACCAAGTCTCTTCCTGGGGTTGTGTGTTGGGAATGTAGTGATAGAGGGAAACTCAGCAAAAGGCCAAAATTTCTAGGACTGTTATCACGTACAGCTTTGCTCACATTAATAAAACGCTTGCATAAGGCTTTTTAAAAGAGTTTTATTGAGCTATAATAGATATAACATAAAAATGTATCCATTTAAAGTATATAATTCATTGGTTTGGAGTATAATTAGAGTTGATCAGTCAACTCTAATTAATTTTATTCTAAAACGTTTTTATTTTCCCCTAAAAGAAAACTTGTACCCACTTTCTGATTTAAAAAAAAAGAGATTCAGAAGGTGGTTCAAATGGGCAGTCAACAAAGACATATGATATTAAAGATAAAAGAACAGCATGCCACTTTGGGCTTTTTAACTAAATCTCTATTGCTTTAATATTTACCTGTGACCGTTCATGATTTCAGGATTCTCTTTTTAAAAATCAGTTTTCTTCAGCTTAACATTCCATAGATGGGGGCAGTTTTATATCCTATATTACAAAGCATACTAAATGGCAATTTGGAGTCAGTCATGCATTTGCTATATCTTAGGCATCTTAAATTACCTCTATTCACATGTTTTTGATAGAATTGTTTCTTAAAAAAAAACAGAAAACCACCCCTTGATCTTGGTTCTTCCTTATAGAATTTTGTGCATAGTTGATGTGGTAGTCATTTTCCTAGTAATTTTGTTAATTTGCTGTGAAAGATTGAAAATTTGATAATGTAGTATATATGATATTAAATTGTGAATTAGTGGGGCTTTGATGTAAGAGTGTATCAACATTTAAAGACATTGGTACTTGATACTCTACTAAGGAAAATTAGCCTCCAAATTTTAAGCTGTAAAGTCACAAATAACTGTTTAGAAAAAAAATAGCTCAAATGACTTCATAATTTTGGTACATACGTTAAGAATTGTGTACAAACTGAAATGTCTGTGTACTGATCCTCAAAACATAATGAAATCTCAATTACGAAAAAAAAGAAAAATCTATTTTCTTGAAGCTTCATATAACCTAATAGAAATATCTTAAATTCTCCTTTTAAATAAGTCAGGAATCCTCTTAGGAACTAATCTCTCATGAGGCATAAACTAATTCAGCTGAAATTCCAATCAACTTAGAATCAAACTTTTAACACAAAATTTCAAACTTTCGAAATTGAAAAAGAATTGGGATCTATTATTATGTTGTTATTGTTGCTGTTATTTTACAGTTTATAGTTTCAGCCAAAGACAAAAAATAATCATAAGTGCAAAAGAGAGTCAGCAAAAAGGACTGAAATTGGGGAATTGAGTGGATTTCGCAGAAAAAAATGATATTTCTAGACCCAAAGTAAAGTTTGAATGATTTATAAAATGTAGGTTTCATTGGTACTTGTTCTGTGGTAAAGGTGTCCTTATTCATCTATTCAACATTGGAAATTTATACACACATTAAATTTGAGAATTGCTCTTAAAGAATAAGACAGAAGCCTGACTTATGTAGAGTTCAGGTCATTGTGTGCTGGGTAACTTTGGCCAACTGAGTTAGTTTATAAAATGTAAAATGAGCTTGAATAATGTAGTTTTGAAAAAAAAAATTCATAGGAAAGACCTTTACAATGAGTCCAAAGTCATTGCCTCAGATCCAGTTAGGAATAATATTCTCCTTAGAGTCACAAAGAAGGGGTAGAAATCTCATTAACACTTTATTATATCCATTTAGAATCCCAAGGTCCTCTCAGGTTCTGAAAGTCTATTTATTCATTTAGTCATTCCACAAACATTTATTAAACTCAAGTATATGCCAGTGTTAAAATTCAGCAGATCCAATTTCTTGGTATGCAGGGTGAAAGAATAGAGACAGTTTGGTAAGCCAAAGTATAAAAATAAGTAAATTGTTTGTGTGCTTTTATAGGCAAAACCTGTGTCTAAATCTATAGTTGCCTTTCAGATAAACAACAGTTTTCTGATGTGATTCAAAACACAAACCCACTGTCATAGTTTCAGGAACAGAAAAAGAAAATAGTCTGAGAAAGCTCTGCTTAAACATTATTAATGAATGGCAAGTGGTTACTGCTACTATCTAAACTTTTTTTTCTTATAAAAAGATCATTTATTATTTTTTAATTTAAAAATAAATTTCATAGCAAATGGATTCACCCCAGGATTCCTTCCCAGTGTATCATGTTCACAGTAATAGAAATTATCCACCAGAATAACCAGGCTTCATAATGGGAGAGGCTGGCACATATATTATTCTAATACAGGGCAGTCTTTATTTAAACAAACAAAAAAAAAGCAAGTGTGTCCCCTACATCATGATTAAGAGGTCTGCTGAGAAGAACCTGGAAAATTACATAGGGACACTGTGTATATTACTGACGGCAACTTTTTCTCACGCTAGATAGGAAATCAAATGTGCGGTAGATATAGAGGGCATCTTTGACGACAGGGCATATATGAATAGAACCCTTGCAGAATCTCCAAACTACTTACTGATCTCCTTGTTTCTACACAGTTAGACCTGCAAGGCCTAAGCACCTGACCCACGTGCATGCCAGCCTGCTTAATGTCTGGAATGAGCACCTGTCTTTAGGTAGATGCCTGTACAACAGGCTTAAATTGCATTAAGGATCACCTTATAAACGATACAGTTCCTGTTCAACTTCAGAACCTAAAAGAAAAATGAACTTAGATTTCTCTTTCCTACAGTCACTTGAGAGCCTTTTTCTTTGTATATCATAATTTATCATCCTGTGGACTTTCGAGGAATTGCCAGTTAATTTCTAGACATTCCTCAAGGGCAGGGAGCATTCCCCCTGCTTCTCTTGTTTCACTCCAGCAGATAGACACTGCGTTGGTGTCCAGGAACAGGTTAAGGTCAAAGTGCCTTCAGCAAGTGCACTCACTGCCCTGGAGCACTTAGCTCCTTAGGTTGTGATTAGCTGTCAGAATGCCCCTCTGGAGCTGAGGTTAATGCATTTTTGTATGTCTACTTAAACTTAAAACAATGCCTGGCTCCCAGCCAGTGCTCAACAAACATTTGCTAAGTGGACATGGGTCTTGACTGTTTGTTTATTGGAAATAACCTACATGGTGTTTAAGGAGACATTGGTGAACATGTCTTTATGTTGCTATGAGTTAGCTGTTTCTACAAGATTAAAGTATCCCAAGGAGGAAAAGGAAAGACTACCTGACTTGGTTTGCAATCACATGAAAGGTCAAAAAAGAAAGTTCATCTAGCTCTAGCTCTATGTTGTCTTTGACAGATGAAGAATGACCAAGTACAATGACCTTTCTATCAAGTCCACGCCATTATTTTGGGGCATACATTATTGCCTTGAATAATGAGCGTATGCCAATAGAAGCTCTCAACATGCACTGTTAGCTCCTTGGGGATGAATGCAGTGTCCATACATCTTTATACTCCCAGAGCCCAGCACAGTTTCAGAATCAAATTGGGATTCAGAACATGCTTACAGCATGGATAAGTGAATGACTTAAGTCGTGACTGATCATATTGCAATCACAACAGGGCCAAGTCAGTCGTAGCTTCTTCTCCAGCTTATTCTCAGCCCACCCTGACTGCTGAGAAGAGACACAGGAGGAGAGGGCCATCATCAGGAAGGAGGCCCTTGTTCCCAGGGCCAGGCATGGGACAAAATGTCACTAAATGCCTCCAAAACCAGGGGTCTAGTGAAAGTCTCTGGCAGTAGTTGTTGGGACCTCTCATTCTGATATGTGAATACCACCATTCTAATTACCACATTACTAGACTATTGCATTTACAAAGTACTTACAATTGATTTTACTTGCTCTCTGGAGCAGCAATTCTGAAGGTAGCAAGGACCATTATCCCCACTGCAGATCGGAGAATTGAATCACACAAAAAAGGTGAAATAAGCCAAGTGAGATCACACAGCATGCTAGGGTAGATTTCCAACCTTTCAAACCTTCTAACACCCTATTAATTTGTTTGCTTCATTATCAGGTCCTCCCCTTGACACCTTCATACAATTGCTTCCAAAAAGTGGCTTACATCATAAATCTTTTTAAGTTAAATTTAATTGCAAGCTGCCCCTTGCGATAGCTGCTAATGCCCTGAACCTGAAAGTCACTGCAGTTTTTCAAGAGCAGGCATTGGACCCTGTAACACCTGTCTGCCCTAATCTGCTCATCAATGCTTCCTTTAACAAGCTGCCACCACAGACAGTCCTTTCTTAATGAGTGAAAAATACTTCCGGAACTATATTCAAGCACTCCATTTTCCTGTCAGAAAGGTAATTGGGGCTGGCCAATAAACTAGTTTGAAAAATCAAATTTAAATGAGCCAAATTTAAATTTTTAAGAGCCTCATTTAACATGCAATTAATTTTACGCCTGTAATAAAAAGAGAAAACCCTCCGGTCTTCCTGAAGAATTAAATAAGCTGATAAGGAAATGCCATAAAATTTTATGTCATGGAAATGATTCTTGAACACTGTCCTTTCGGTTACATATTATGTACAGTAAGTACATTCTATTTCAGGGAAACATTAATTTTACTGAGATTAAATATTTTTTTCTGAATAGTCATAGGAATGTGACAAAATGGTTAGGGTTGAAACAGACTATGGGTTCTAGATTTTATTGTAAGCTATCACTCTGTCCTTTATATTACCACTTCAATCTTTATAGCTTCTAGTATTTTTGTTTCTCCCCAAAAGAATAGGGAGTAATAGAAATAATAGAGCTCAGCTATATATAGGATTCTTCGAACTTTGTTCCAATCAATGAGATGTTGAGTAACACCCTCACTGACCAACCCTTTTATTCCTATTATAATCCATTGTGGTATTGGTTGTCACTTATTTATGATATATACTATTTTTATGTTTTGCTATGCAATAACATACCTCCATTCTATTATTATAAGTCCATTAAGTAATTAAATACATGGCATTAGTTGAATTTTTCAAGAAAAAATTCTTAGGATGCTTTTTATTCTAAACTTTGCTTCCGGACAGTGCTACACATGAGTCACTGCAAGATGAACACTAAGTCTGTATTTTCTAATGTGGTGGGAATACTAATGCCATAGAGAAAAGAATTTTCTTTTTTAAATATATTTTTATTGATTTCAGAGAGCAGAGGAGGGAGGGAGGGACGGAGGGAGGAGGGAGGGAGGGAGGGAAGCAGGGAGGGAGAGAGAGAAAGAGGGAGAGAGAGAGAGAGAGAGAGAAACATGATGAGAGAGGATCACTGGTCGGCTGCCTCCTGCAAGTTCCCTATTGGGGATCTAGCCTACAACCCAGGGATGTGCCCTGACCTGGAATTAAACTGTGACCTCCTTAGGTTCATAGGTCAATGCTCAACTACTAAGCCACTGAGGCCAGGCTAAGACTTTTCTTTGTGGGGACAAAATCAAACTTTGACATAATTTTACAAGGACTTAGGGGTCAGTTAGCACATCATTGTATTTAGTGCTTCCCTGAAGCTAATCCAATGCTTTTTAATTTTAAAAAAGTAAATTCTTAAAGATAACCAAACTTCAATTCTTTCCAATAGTGCTCATTTTGGACTTTCTCTGTTTGCCCTGCTTCTGTTCCCAGGACTGAAGGGCTCCCTCCAGAGGCTGCAGCTGGAGTATGTGGATGTCGTCTTCGCAAATCGACCAGACAGTAACACCCCCATGGAAGGTGAGTAAAGAAATTTAATAAAAGACTCTGGAGTTACTGATTCTAGCTCGATGACTATTCCACTCATGGTAGGAAATGAAACACACTCAGACTGATTTGACTGAATATGAAAAATAACCACCTTTCCAGTAAAAGTCTTTCAGCCTTAATATTTACCTTCAAAGCCAATGCTCAGCATCCTGCATCTTCATTCCTTTTTAAAGTAGTTGCAGGCATTGGAATTGTGGCTTCTGCTGGGTACAGTGCTCACTTACTTTTTCCAGGTTCTTTTCACTTCTGTGGTTCCATAAATGAAAACAATAAAATTAATTAGAAGGGGAATTTATAATCCAGCCATCTTATTTTACATCTTATTTTGAAGTAAGTCATCTGAGTGGCTTCCTATTTTATAACGACTCTAGGTCTGATTAGTTCCCAGTCTGCAGAGCCACTATTTAAAATGAGCAGAAACTGGTTTGGCTCAGTGGATAGAGCATTGGCCTGCGGACTGAAGGGTCTCAGGTTCGATTCCGGTCAAGGGCATGTAGGGGGTGTGCAAGAGGCAGCTGATCAATGATTCTCTCTTATTGATGTTTCTAGCTCTCTATCCCTCTCTCTTCCTCTCTCTAAAAAATCAATAAAGTATATATTTTTTTAAAAAATGAGAGCCTTCATTGCAATTTGGTTTTTGGTTCTCATTTTATTTCCCTTCTGTTACAACTGTTTGAAGACAATATTTTGACATCTCCTGTGAAAACTTTCAGGACATTCCTAAAAACAGATTTTTTTCAATTTACATTTATTTATGGAACCTACATAATATTATTGAGAAAGAAGATAGTTTGGGAGGGCAAATTAAAAAGAATGATCCAGTTAATTGAGGTTTACAATGATCCAGTTAATTGAGGTTTATAATCATGGAGTATCACCCAAAGTTAATGAGAATGAAAATACTTGGAAAAAAGAGGGGGGGGGGGGGAATGTTCTTGTTATTTGAGGCTTACAATAACATAGATTTATAAATTTTCAAAGAATGAGAATAAAGTAATCAACATAAAATTATACTGAAGGTAATTTGTCCTTGATGATTCAATAGGTAGTTCATGATCTTATAATATCAACAGGTTCTATAAAGATTTATTCTTGCTATTGGGCTATAAAAGTTATAAATAATCAAAGTGCATATGAGTTTTTCTGTGGGTTTTTCTGACAAATATAATGTTCTCCTAGAGTTTTCTGTTTCTTTGATTCTGAGTTAATTAGGAGTTTACTATAAAGCAATATTAATGTTGGAAATTCAGATAAAAAATTATCTATGGAAATGACATAAAAATGCATATTTTTATCAAATCAAAGAATACATGTATGATAAGGCAAATTATAATTGTTTTTAGTCTAAGAAGAGTTTTTTACAGGGATAATATGATATCACACTATTCTCAATAATGAAACATCAAAACAGAGCACTAAAGTGTTTGAGCGAGTGAAAGTGTGCAAGTGCTGTTTAGGCTGTGAAAGCCCTAAATTGCTTCCCATTTAAGTCCAGGGACTATTTTATTTTGGAAAAGTATCCTTTGCAATTACACCATGTATAGAATAGAATAGCAATTTTCAACCAGTGTGCCACAAGAATTTTTAAAACATACACTGACCTCTTTTCCCATTAGATTATCAAATTTTAAAAAATGACACTAGCCATCCATTTGAATGAATCAAAAGTATACCTTTTTTTGTCAAACCTGCTAAAAACATATGTTGTGGTGTGCCACAGAATTTTAGTAATTTGTTTAGGTGTGCTGTGTTTTGTGCTTTTATAGAAAGTTAAGGATTCCAACCTTATTCCATAAAGTTCTGATCTGAAGGGAGGGGGAGGATCCTGGAGAAGAATATGTATATACTCTATGCAATTTAGCTACTTGCTCTATTCTCCCCACCACACACACACACACACACACACACACACACACACACAGCTTTGTCCTTTCTTCACATCTTCAGTCAACAGTGAAGGCAGAAGCGATTCAACCCCTATCATTAATGCGACACATAAGGAGGGAAAATGTGGGCCACATGGCTGGGCCCTGTGGGTCCTCTTCACCACAAATCTGTGGCTTTCACCGAGTTCAGAAGGCATGTTTTCCCTCCTAAGTTACTGTTAGGCAGAGGGAGAACGAAGATGGCCCTGCTCACCCCAGCTGTCAGGTGGAAACACAGCTGTTAGTATTTGAGGGGCTATGGCTTTGTGACACACGTGAACATCCTTCTGTGGGAGTTGTCATCTCCCTGGAAGATCGCTGGAGTTGTGACAAGACTTACCTCCATATTCGGAGGAGATGTTGAATCGGTCTCGGGAGAATTCATTGTTATACTCATCTCTGTAAGTTCCTCATTGTGCTGCAGCTGATCTGCAATGACATGGGTAGAACTCGGAGACGAACATTACTCAGCTCTCTAATCTGGGCAGGTGGGGTTACAGAGTTGAGCAGTTGTCACTTAGCAGCATCTCACTTAAACTCAGGGCTGACGAGCATGCTGATTCCATGGAGTGAGCAGAGCCACCTGTACTATTGCTAATCTGGAATTCCCAGGTGAATAAAGACCCTTCAGTTTCACTTTCTGTACAAAATGAAGTAACAAAGGGAGTAAATGGTTTTGTTAAACCCCTATGGGTATGGGTATTTAATATGTGTAGTGGAAAAAAAAATGGGAGTCTTCAATCAGAGGGTGAGGGCATTCGTTTTAGGTGTGTATACTTGGTTGAGTTGCTCAGACTTTCTGTTGTTCAGTTTTTCATTTGGAAAATGGGAAGAATAAAACTATTACCTTCTCTAGCTATTTCCAAGATTGTTGTAAAGATAATATGAGACAATATAAGTGAAAATGTTTTTATATATTGCAATGCCCTGCACATACATTCTAAGGTTGAAATTGTCATTATATATGTTTATACTTTTAGGAATTAATATTCATAATAAGATGTAATAATTTAAGTTTCATCCAGGCACCAAGACACAATCGAAATAAAATTTCAAAGAGAGGTACCTAATCTCCATGTTGTGTACTTGCAAAGGAGATGGGTGAGGGCTGGATCCATGTCTCTTTCTGTCCCCAACCTTTTATTCTGAAAAATTAAAACCTACAGAAAAGCTGAAAAGGTAAACATATAATACTCTCCACGTAGATTTACCGAATTGTGCTGTATTTGCTTCTATTTCTCCCTTCCTTGTTCTCTCTCTCTCTCATGATATTTCACCCACACTTGCTTCTGTCTCCTGAGAACAAGGCATTCTTTTATGTAACCACAACACAATCCTCACCCCCCAGAGCTTCACCATTGATGCACCACTATTATATAATAAGCAAGCCATATCACATCTCCTAAAATGTGCTTCATATTCTTTTAGGTTTTGGTGGATGTGGAGGCAAGCCTAGGATTTAATTAAGAATCCACAGTGCATTTAGTTGTCTTGGCTTTTTCTTTTCTTAGTCTAAAATAGCTCCTTCACCTTCTTTTCTCTTTAATAACATTATCTTTTTTTTTTTTTAATCCAAGCCAATTGTTTTAGAAAATGTCTCTCAGTCTAGATCTGTGTAGTTGTTTTCCCTACGATTAAATTAATAGTAAGCCTTTTGGGCAAGAATACTTTTTGGGTCCTTCTCAGTGTGTCCCATTACTGGTCATGTTAAGTTGACCACTCAGTTAAGATGATGTCTGCCAGCTTTCTCCAACATGATGGTACCTCTTTGACTTAGTAATTAATAACATGAGGTGTGTTTCTTTGAAACTAGGTGAATTTCCTGTGTCCCCCACAAACTGAATTTAGCATCCACTGAGGCTTCCTGACCAAATCCATTATTATAATGGGGGCCATAACCCTTCTCCATTCATGAGTGAGCATTCTGTAAAGATGAGTTTCCTTTCTCTTCCTCCCCCTCTCTCAGTTCTGGGACTCTGAAGCCCCTCACTTGCTTGAAGAATATAAAGGTTGAGACAGAGGAGAGAGGGTCTAGTTGAGAAGGACATACCTGAATAAAACTGTGCTCTGAGCACCATCAACACCAGCAGGGTGAGAGGGCTTCCCCTTCACTTCAACTCTGGTTGGGAGTGGGGAGTTTCAAACATGATCCCCATGGTTGGGGAATATAGTAGCTTGTAAGCTGACTCATGTTTGGCAAATCCAGAGGTGGAAAAGTGGACTGAGTCTCTTTAGTGGTATAGCCAGGAGAATGCTGGGGTGGCAGGGAGGGCCTCTGTGTTTGTTTCCGGTGTGGTATCATCTTAGGTCCTGTCCTCTAGGTTATGTTTGAGAAAAGGATGAACAAACATCCAGAGCCAGTAGGAGAAGGGCCGGGAGGAGAAGCAGAAAGTAGAGGAATGAAAACACCAGCCATGCCCCATGTCACTACCCTTTATTGCAGGCTTCTAGCCTGAGCAGGTTCCAGCTAGGAAAGGGAGAGGAATTTGAGTTTGAAATTTTGATTGACATCTATGGAGGCTGTGTTTATATTTTAAAATTATGTCAGGACTGTCTATGGCCCAGAGGGGGCAGAAAATCCATGGGGCCAGTCTGAGTTTTCATTAGTTTCAGAAAACAAATTGGTTTACTTCATAAGAAAATATCATTATGTCCAAAATAATTGGAAGTTTAGGAAAACCTTGTATGCTTAAGATTCAAGTCTCCACAAACTATAAAATAAGGCATTTGGCCAGCTGTGTAAAATGTATACATTACACATAGACATCCCTCATATCCCACCACTGCTCCTCCCACAAACCCACCATAGAAATCTGAATATTTTTGAAAGTGTTACTTCTCCTTGGGGAGTAATTGTTTGTCAGTGTTCAAATACTGGAAAAGATTAGGAACCACAAAACCTTACTCCCTGCAGTTTGGAATTTTCCATCCTTTCTAAATATGTTCCCATTTTTAGCTTTTGCTAATTTGTTTTTAATTCTGAGAGGTAAGCTTGTGTTGTGACTTGCTTCAGTGAAGAGAATCATGCAAAATTAATGAGAATTA